ACACACACCCAAATCCAATTTTCCAGTGCATTTGTGCCCTGGCCACAGCACTTCGGTAAATCTGTGACACCTGCTATTACTTTATCACAAGGTTCTAGAAATTTGTGAGCAAATTATAAACTTTTCTAAGGTGTCTGTTGCACATGAGTAAAAACTTTAAATTCAATACTGGGTGTATAATAACCTTAATATAAAAAACAACAACAAGTCACCTAATCTTTTAGGTAGGAAAAAATAATGTTTTCATTAAAGATGGAATTGATAGTTTGTGAGAAAAGGCAATGTACAGGTGAAGATCAAAATGTGCAAGACATAAGAACCCTCTGACCCTCACATTTAAAGTCCCTTAATGATCTATTTCAAATGTGTTTTTATTTTTACTTTCCAATACTTTTTTTTTTTCTCACCTTATAACAAAAGTCAACTTAAGTTTTTGTTTCCCAATCTGTATCTCAAACCATCCCAATGCACACAATGCTTGCCCATATAATTTTTCGGCTCATATTTTTTCCATATGTCCATTTATTGAATTTGTAGCACTTTTAGAACCCAGACAGAAACAAAGAAACATTAAGATAAATGTTGAAAAACAACAAGCACAGAAGTATGTAAAAAGTCTNAAAACAAAAAAAATTAAGATAAATGTTGAAAAACAACAAGCACAGAAGTATGTAAAAAGTCTACAAGAGGATTTTTTAAAAAAATTTCTTAGTTCTTAAAGCAACTTTGGCAAGTTTTACCATGAAAAAAAATAGAAAGCCTAGGGGGAAAAAAAGAAAGGAAATAAAAATTTGCAAATATCACAGTATAGTTGTTGCGACTGTCCTGATTTGTCAAAAAATAAAAAGTATCTCAGTCATTCATAGTTTACCTATATGAGTTCTGGGAGATCTAAAAACAAATAACATGTACATAAAAAACAGACATAGGAAAAAGCACAACTAGAATTCAGCTGAGCAGAATGTGGGAATGTCATATCCTGAGTAATAATTCTCACATTTTTATAAATTACTGATCACAATCATTATCCTTGTCAATGAAGGGGAAATCAATCTAATAATCAGGAACACTTCTAAGTATTTTTCAAATTGTTATTTTCAAATTTCAAAGTGATATCTTCCTATCTGTGGGCATTTCTCTTGTATTTATGGAGTCCCCAATAATATGAATATGAACACTTAGATATTTCATAGAACTTATAAAAACTTTAGTGAAATAAATTCTTCTCTTTGGAGACAAATGAGGCCAACTTGGTATTTAATTCATCTTAAAAGGAAGCAGAATATTCTGACCATCCTAATGCCCAATATAAATGGAATTATAGGTGAAACCTAATTTACTAAAAACATCAAGGAAATGAAAAAGACATAAGAGAAAAGTACTGGGAAAAGTTTTTTGATAATAATCTCTAGAGATCAATAACAGAAGTCCCTTTACTAACTGACTTGTTCATGTCCTACTTTCATTTAACATAAGTTCATTCAGTGAAAAAAGTTGAGAAGAAAGTGCTTACCAAAACCCAAAACAAAAAACAAAAATGGAAATGACAATCTCCATGACATATTTGCCAGACATGTCTACTTCTATCTCTCAGATACCTAATATTTATAGCTATACTTATACATAGTGTGTGTACACACACACACACACACACACAAGTATGTATATTTATATAAAATATTTCTTATATCACAAACATATAGCCAATTATACATTTTAGGCATATGATGAACTTACTGAAACTGCCAAAACAATAGGCACCACCATGAATGTAGATCACAGCTCGTCTTGGGGTCTGTGACTTTCTCTTTGGCAAGTACAGACGCACTGGAATGTCATTAAACGTTGTATCGGTCACTGTAAGGTATTCATCTGAAAGTGGTTGGGTATAATCCAGCCTGAATAGCACGGAAATAAACTCTTCATATGTCATAATACCTATATTTTCAAAACACATACCCTGTAAGAACAAGACAAAAGTAAATGTTTTCATCTTTAAATAACATCAAATGCACATGAAGGGAAAAGTAAAGAAAACATAAGCAAAATAAATAAACAGAAATAGNCCTTTCATCTTTTTTTTTGGCATGCTGTCTTCTTTTTTGTTATTTTTAATTTTATTTAATCCAAAATTTTGTGTGGTCTTATGACCACACTACTAATGATTCCAATGTCCTGGTTTTCAATTCCAAATAGATTCCTGTTCATCGCCCTTCCAACCCCCCCCNGAATGTTTATAAAAATTATTTCCAATTATAGCTCTTATTGCACAACTTTATTGCCTTTGAAAACCTCAAGTATTATGTTTTTTAGGTTAATAACTGTCTCATTCAAAAGATGCAATTTATTGACATTTTCTTTTATGCCTGTCATAGTTATTGCTTAATTGTAAATTCTTATCTGAAAAATTTCCAGGTCTTATAACATTTTTTCTCCCTCCCTNAATCTCTCCTTGGTATTTCTGATCGGCATCTCTAGGACCTTTGTGACATATCTCTGGATAGTTTATTCAAAAGAAGAACTTTAAAAAATGCATGGTCAATAGTACATTAAACAGCCTTTATTACTACAGTTATTACAAAGAGTTTAAGGTAATACAGGGCCTTAGAGAACATCTAATCCCTATACTTTAATGATGAGGAAACATGCAGAAACTACAAACTATAGCTAGTAACTGTCAAAGCCAAATCTGTACCCGTTTTTCTACACCAGTCTCTTATATCACCTGTACTGGCTGCCTGACCTTAAGCAAATTTCTCTCTGTACTTCAGTTTTCTTATCTAATACAATTTAATAATAATAATAATAATAATAATAATAATAATAGAATTCTTCACTGTTTTAAATGACTTAGGACTTTCAATGCATTGGAGAAGAGTGCCTGGCACATGTAAGTATTCAGAAACTCTTGTCTTATTGTTAGTTAAGTATTTCTCACTAAGACCAGTTTTTGAGTGTTTTAATGCTAATTGAATGCACTCATATAGAAGGTCCCTTAAAGCATGTTTATGGTAAATGTTTAAATTAGGTTCATTTTCATTTGGCTTTTAAAAACTAGATTTTTGGGAAATTGCCTTGTTTCTCATTTCTCAGCTATTTCCTGGTTTTGAATAGGTACTTAAGTATTTTTGAAACAACAAAAGCTACCCCTTTAGAGGCGGTTTTGCTCCCTTCTACCATACAAGAGCTCTAATTCCCAGAGCAATGCTGCTAAGTATTTATTAGTAGTATTTTCTTTTACAGGTAAAATTTTACATGAACAATTAAAGAAATTTTTCAGGATTAGGCATGTTTTCTTCTCCTAAACTCTATCTTTCAATTTAATATACGATTAAATTGTAATGCGTTTATTTTTCAAGGCCTTTTTACCAAGAACTTTAATTTTTACTTTCCTTTCCTATGTTAAAAAATTAATTTTTCTTACCAGTATCACAACTTTGAGTTACAAAATTCAGTACTGACAACAATGAAATTGTTTTCTCTACAACAGCTGAAGCCTGTTCATTTGACTAGCATACTCTTGAAAGTAATTACATATGTGCTTCTCTTAATATTTTTAAAAAAACAAAGGGCAACCCATCAATGATATCAAATACCTAAAGTGCATTATTTTATTGTAGATCTTTACGAATAATTTGTAGCTGAGAAAGTAAGAGTAGAATTGTCAAGTCGGCTGTTCTCATGTTGCAGTTTTGACGATAACATCAGTATCGGTCACTCTGGGTTTTAAATACCTATGAAATAGTCAAGGAAGATAACAGCAGCTTCTCTGAGGAGCAGGCACTTGCTAACTCACATATTCTTTCACTTTCTGTAAAATGAAGGAGTGAGAGCGTTGGAAAAAGACAGTTTTGAAAGTGAGCCTCTAGAAGTGGTTTGAGAGATAAGGATCAGGGCTTAGGAGGCACAGACAGGGACTGGATGTGGTTCCAGAAAACTGTCATCCCCGTACAAAGGTCGTGGGACAGCCTCTCCCTCGGGATTTCTCCCTTCTCCAATCCTCCGCTCCTGTCCTTGCCTTCTCCCGTCAGCCTCCTATTGCTACCGCCATCAAAGCTCCTTTCCCGGAGCCACCTGGCTTTGCAGAGAGAGTCTGCGTTTTGAAATGAGTCAGTACTGAGTTCAAATTCTGAAGTTGTCAAGTCCCAGCTACATGAACTCTTCTGGCCCCCTTTCCCTCCTCTGTAAACTGGTAAAAACAATTGAAGGCTAGTGGGGATGAGCAGAGGTATATATATTGTTGTAAAACCTCAAAAATGTTAGTTTTTAACCGTACTTCTCCCATATCAAGGAGCTATTTTCACTTGAACTCATAACCTACCCTGCATATTCCAAGTCAGACAATCTCCGAAACCCAGCAATTTAGAATTGAGGATGGACAATAGAAGCCATCGAAATAGTAAGAGCCCTGTGTTAACATAAAACAGGTACAAACAAATATCAATAATATTTATCTCTGTACTATGAGATACTTCTGGAAATAGGTTATCCCTGAAAATTCAAATATTAAATAAACTTCAAAGTTTTTCCCTCAACAATACTACTTATTTTATGCATATCACAACATATGAAGTCTCTACATTTTAGACATAGACTCTTTGGAAACAAGAATTCTCTCTCATTCTGTGTGCACAGATGCAGCAAGTTTTACTTACTTAATTTCATGTAGTAGATTTATTCCAACAAACAAACAACGGTTATTTAAAATTAGTAATTAATAGAAAATTCATAAGTACTGATTTTCAGTTAACAAGACAGCCCAGTATCCAGGAGAAAAAAAAGATCATCTTACCACAAATGTACAAGTTTTAACAATTGCATTCAAGGCCATTACTTTCCAGGGTTCTTCAATGTTGGCTGGAAGAGGTATATAAATATAAGAGGCAAAGAGAACACAGAACAGCCCAAAACAGAGGGCTTTGGACCCCATCATATTCTTCTTTGAAGCCTCGTCACAGGGCCAAGGTGACAATAGTCCTATTAATATTAAATAAGAAGGAACAGCACAAATGTAGACTGGAAACCCTTTCAGGTAATATGACCGTCTTCAGACTGTGAAGTTAATTTTCAAGTCCAACATTACACCAGTAGAAGCTTGTATTTGCATTGCTTCTGAGACAGATGTGATTTGTTAGTCCACTCTTACATTGCTAGCATGCAATTGAAACCTCCCACGCTGTTTTCTTCACCTGCTCAAAGCAAGTGTTTCACTGATACCTGAATCAAGCTTAACCAAGAGCTCTGAATGGAGTGATGAAGTAACATTTTGTGATTGTTTGGTCACAATGTTTTGTAAGAGGTTAAAAAAAGAAAGCTGATACTTAGTCAAAATCCAGACTAATACAATTATCATAGATTATCAACCATGTTAATAAACCCTACTTGCTGTGGTGGCCAAAAGATAGAGGGATGTGGGACCTTGTTGAATGAAATAATATATTTTATAACAATAAATATATATACTTTTTGCTTATCTTGTTTGCCATCTTCAGTCAGGTCTTTGCTGTAACTCAAGATAGGATCTAAATTTACAGTGTCCACTCAAATTTAATAATTGGCAGCTCACTCAAAGGCAACAGCCTTGCAAATCACATGCTGTAAAACCCAAGAGTTTAGCTCTATTGTTTTTTTAAACTTTCAAAATTAGATGTCATTATTGATAACATATACAGAAACATTGTTTTATATATAAACACATTCATCATTATATTTGTTCAATATTTTTATGTTCCAACTGTTATCCTATAATCATTTTTTTTAATTGAAGTACTGTCAGGAACCAGCCTGAAAGATGAACAAACCTGAGTTCGAGCTGTGGGAATTAAAGAGACAAAGTTATAGGATCAGGAGGGCTGCCCTCCAATGAGGCGCAGCCCCAAATGGCTTCAATGCCTTTATTATACAGTAAGTAACAAATAATTAGTCCTGAGGTGAGGGTGATACAAACACCTTGATTTCAGTTCCAGTGAGCTTCTGACATCCAGAAATACGAGAGAGCAAACTTCTGTTGTTTGAAGCCACCAAGACCATGGTCATTGGTTACAGTAGCCACGGGAAACTAATATTCTCAGGGACTCCTCATGATCATTTGAGCATTTTTTTTTTTTTTTGAGTGGGTCCTAAGGAGAGTGAAAGAAGTTAAACAGTAACCAGACTTTTTTTGGAGGAGGGGTAACACTGAGCAGTGGATGCCACGTTACTTTTGGTTTGGTGGCTTGAAGGTTGATGGTAGTTCACCATGAGGCATATATGGGGAACATGCAGAGTAGGTCTCCCTCCTCAGTGTTCTTTGGAGTTGCCACGTTCCTCTTTTAACATATAGATAGCCCACAAGAGACTATGTTTACTAGTCTTTTAATTATTACAGTCAATTGCTGTTTGAGGGTATTTCATCTATCACTTACCTGTTAGCAATGGTGCTTAAGAAATGAAAGACTTGACGTCAATATAGTGGGGAAAAGCTTCATTCCTTTCACCTATTTGAGTTAATATCATCCTGACTTTCCATTGAATTAATTAACTCTCCCAATTTGTGCCATTTTGGTGAGATTGAGAATCACAGTGCTCTTTCTTCTAAGCAAGGAATGGGCATAGGACTAAGTAAGAGGAACTAGACGTACCGCCTGAAGAATTTGACTTTTGAGTAGAGAGTCTTAAGGACAGAAGCATGTTTAGAGCTCGTTACTTTTTGCAGTTATCCTTGACAGGATAATCCAGTATGCGTTCCACCTGGAACTCGAGAGACAATCTTGTTAAAAGCCCGAATCTCCAGATTTCCTGCCAATTTTGTAAACTTACTAATAATATTAAAATAAATTGTATCCGCTTCATTTGGACATGATAAGGTTCTGTTGCCTGTCATTAAATAACCTTAAATCTACAGGAAGTTATAAAAATAATTTTTTTAATCCTTACCCGAGGATAGTTTTTCCATTGCTTTTCAGAGAGAGTGGAAGGGGGAGAGAGAGAAACATCGGCGTGAGAGAGACACATCAACTGGCTGCTTCCCACTCATGAGCCTGCCGGGCGGGCATTGGCTCTGCAAAGGAGGTGCNCACATCAACTGCTTCCCACTCATGAGCCTGCCGGGCGGGCATTGGCTCTGCAAAGGAGGTGCGTGCTGGGCCGGACCCCAACCGGGGACCCTTCCGTCCGAGGGCCCACGCTCTAACCACTGAGCCGAACCACCTAAGGCCAAAAAATAATAACTTTTCACATCTTGAGGGTATCCTGCACCTGGAGGAGTAGGAAGGAGGGCACCTTTTAATAAGAAAGTTATAAAAGGAAATGGTAACTTACATATTTATATGGCTAAGGGCAAATGTGGTCCTTAATATCTCTAAATATTATCCGTTTCTTTGATCCATGTGTTTTAAACTATGTTACTGATAGGGAGTAGCTTCCCATTCTGATAAATTCACAGGTGTTTTAAATTATGTATCTAATATGTATACAAACTACTTCATTTTAAAAGTATGTAGATGATTTCATTTCATTCGGTATTTTTACCGATCAATATCTGTGTGGATATTTCAGCAGAATTTCCAATAAATTTTTTTTTTTTTCAAACAGAAGAGATAAAAAATTACTTTAGTATTATTTATTTTTTTAGATGTTATATTTATGTTGGCAATTATTGGATACTTTAAAATTAAAAAAAATATATCTGTGTATAAGTGGGCCCCTGGAGTTTAAACTCGGATTATTTAAGGGTCAACTGTAATTGCCTTTAAAACATATAAAACTTAGTAAACATTATTACCACCAATTTGCATTTATGGTATAATTGATTTGTTAACGAGCCAAATTTAAATCAGTAAAATTTTTATTCCGGTTACTTATAGAAATTTTAAACATTATTTATTAAGAAGTAGCAAAAATTACATATATCATTATGTATGAATATTTTGTTATTAAGGTTATTAGAAATCATGGAAATAACAAATTCAATGTTGGAAAAAATTTCAAAAAGTAAAAATAAAGAAAAATTGTGGGTTCATATTTTCTTAAGAGTGTGTTTCAGATTTCCTACATTATTATCTCATGGTTTTTCTGAAATAAGGTTGTACTTGTACGGTCAGTTACTACTGAATTTAAAATTTTCCAAGGTATTCCTCTCCTCCAGTGGAGAGGGCGTGGCCCTGGCCCTGGCCCTCTGGGTGGTGAAGTTCTCTGGGTTACATTGCAGCCGAAATTTCCAGGAAGCTGCCTTCTGGGTGCTTGGAAAACTGTCCATAGGGAAATGTTGCTCCACAGAACTTGCTGGAAGCTGCCCTCCCAAGTTCCAGAGGACGCTCCCCATGGGGAGATGCCTTTCAGCAGAGCTCACTGGTGGAAGGGGCACCACCGGGGGCCCATGCACTGCTGCATATTTGGGCGCTAGAGGAGCAGGCAGAGAAAAACACGCTGCCACAAAGCCTCTTTTTCCTGCAGAGCTCTCTGCCCCCATCTGCTGACAACACATATGTGTCATCTGAGAGAAGAAAAATGCGTTAAGGGTACAAGCTTAAGTGTCACCAGCAGGGCACTGAAGGTGTATTTGGAGACGAGGGGTAACCAACTGATAGCTGGCACAAGGTAAGGAAGATTGCTTTCTTTTTCCTGAGTGAAAGCAAGGGATTTTGAAAGTCTTGGAACCCATGAATATAATGAAATGGGGAAATTGATCTTTGAAAGAATTTGACATAGGGCTTTACATAGGTGTTTAAAGTACAAATAAAAGAAAATAGCTGATGTTTAGTTTTCAGAATATTCCTGTGAAATATTTAAATACATTTAAGCAGTGGAAGTACTGAAATTCTCAGTTTCAGCCTGTGGAAATGCCCTATCGGAAAACAATTTCCTTACAAAAGAGATAGTCTGCCCACAAACAGCCCTTTTCCTAAAGGGAAAATCTGTAGTGTCTTAAAAACTGAGTTCAGATTGCGTTTGCACGGTTAGGGCCCAGCTGAGCGTTATGTATTGCTGAGTCATCCAAGACATGATGGGATGGGAGTAACGAGGCCATCAACTGAGCTTGCGTGTACAACAAACACATCATAAACTGTAAAGTGGTATGTAAAATCTGTTCCAGAAGGATTTCTGTTTTGACTCTCCTTTTTCTAATGTCATTTAACTCCCATAAAAGTTTTCCAGCTCCTTTGGCAGAAATGGTTCTTAAAACCTGTTGGCAGAGCCCAACAGGTGGGCCAATTTACAGTTTACTCTTTAGAGCTCTCTGTGACTATCGGAGTTTACTATAAATAACAGATCCCAGACATCATCTATAGGAAAACTAACTCCATCGCAAGTGGGTCTGAATGTTATTAGAAATTCAGACAGCTGCTACCCCACCCCACCCAGGTATTTCTCCAAAAATCCTGGCACAACACACTACCTTGGCAATGTTCTGAATCTTTATTGTCCAGAGTTTGTTTTGTGGTGGTTGCAGAACCAATCAAAGTAGAACTATACTGAAGCAAATGTTTGCTATTTCCCAGGCTATTATATAAAAATAGATCCAGATCCTAAAAATCAGAAAGAATGTTATGCACAGTTGAACTTACTTATTTTTGTGCTTAGAATTCTAGAGTTTACCTGCTAACATAAATATTAACCACATCTCAAAGTTAACTTATAAAGGCTTAAAAGTTTCTGAATATCATTACCATGTTTTCCAACTGTGCACAGTCAATTGTAACTGAAATAGAAAGGAAAATACAGCCTGGGTAAAGCTGTGTCTGCATCTATTATTTCTTTCTAAACTGTATTGCTGAAAGAGTGGATGTGTTGAATACCAGAGAGTGAAGCATGGGCTGCTTAGCACATATTGTTTTGGGAAAGTTTCTATGATAGAGTTGTCATCTAATTAAGTAGTAAGATTCCTCCTCCCCTCCTCAAGTTAACTTTCCCCAAACTCATCTCTTAATTACTACAAATACTGGTTTCATTTTG